TATGAATTCGTACGGAAAGTTCTTTATAATAACCTTGCCATAACATTGGTCTGTTATGCGGCAGAATCGGTCCCTTAATCCACTTATGAACAATACTTAGTATTTTTTTTTGCTAAAATTGATATACAAAGATATTTAAAATTATCCATTTTACTAGCATATGTGTGTCACACGTACCAAAATTCAAACCATATTTCCTTGAAGTATGAAATTGCTTTTTCAATCACGTCCGCTGTTTCATAATAAAATACAATAGATTTAGTTTTAACTTTTCTGTTTTTAACACTCATACCCGGCGAGATGTAAATTATTAATAGTTTTCTAATAATATCGATTTGTGGCTGAGAATACAATATACAACAATACAAAACACGATACTTCATATGTTTTGCCTATTATTCATCAGACATATGTGTATATATATATATATATATATATATATATATATATATATATGTATATATATACATATATCCATTTTATAAGTCTATTATTTTCATATTTCTTTTACCCGTGACCACGGGGGGCACTCCGGCACAAAAGCGAGCCGAACTTTTCGGATCGCCGGCGTTATAGAAAAATTTTAGAAAAAAAATGATAATTTTTTTAAGATTCAGAATAAACAAAAAAATATTGTTTAATGGTGATCGCGCGGTCAGCTTGAATAATTTTTTTTAGAGGTCTTGAGACCCCATGCCGAACTGCGATCTGTCATATATGGTCTGATGTATGTGAAATATGGTTTGGGGCTTCGAATTTGCAGTATTTATTAATGGTCTTATGAAATATGTGCAGGAATAATAAATAATAATAATTCTGTTTGGTAAATGTTAGTAAATGTTTAGTTTTGTGCGAATTGAGAATAAAAAAAATTGTTTTGATATAAGTATTTTTTTAATCAATAATAATTATTAGTAAGATACTCGTATCTTATATAAAAAATTAATATCTGTAAATATGTTACTCTGGTGTTGATATTACAAAATATTATAACTTTGACATATTTTCTCTTCCCTGGCAGAATTTACAATGCCGCATTAAAATAAAATAACGGAAACTATAAATAAAATAATATTTGAATATATATTAAAGTTAAAAAACTGGTTTATTTTTGGATTTTTTATACCTTCGAGGCACCTGTTTCGCCAATTTTTATAATTCTTGTAGTTTCTACAAAAACATATGATTTTTTAAATTAACCTTTCATAATGCATCTTATTTTAATCGCCTTATTGATGGTGAACAGAATTTTTTTTAGAATTTGATTACATGTCTTTAATCAATTAGTTAATACATTCGACTACTAATTGCAAGTTTAATGTAATTTATAAATGATAGTCTACCGTTTCATTCATTTTTATGCATTTTTCTTTCCAAACTTCTGCCTCCACATTTCCTGGTCCTGTGCTTTGGCTTTCAGTTCCCTGTATTTTTTTTTCTCGCGTAAGTACTCAATCATCTGCATTCTTCTTCCCAATCTTTTCAGTTCTTATATTTTAAAGTATAATGTAAATTTATTTAAACATTATTACATTGTATTAATATAATTAGCAGTGCTATCCATAATGTTAACCAATTTTTCACTTGAGTTGACCGGAAGATAAGATGACCAGAATCATTAGGTCGAAACGTGTGCTAAATATATTAATCACAAATAATAATACTGAATTGAATACTTCATGATATTTTAACCCATTCTACTCGTACATTGCAAAAGTAACACGTGTTATGTCGCTGGGGAGACGGCATGCGAGTGGAAGGGTTAAAGTTTTGGATAAATTTGATGAATCTTTTATAGTATACCAATTTGCACAAAAATTACTTTAGGTAATCTAAAAAATCATAATTTTCTAATAAATAAAAAAAAATTTGAAGTTAATTTTTCCTATAAGATTTGGATCAACATGTGGAGCAATTTAAAAGTTATAACTTGTAGTTTATTTGCCAAAATCATCAATGAATTTTCTGGTCTCTTTGCCAAAGGGTTTATGAAAATTTTGTATAACTATTTTTCAAAAATACATTATTTTAAAATCGTATAAATAAATATTTTTTCAATAATTTTTTTTCTATTTTCAATTTTTCTTGATCTACTCATTTGCATTCTGCATGAACTAACTTTCTGAGTAGTTGGTAAATTGGTAAGCAGTCTTGGCCTTGCAACCACAAGGTTTCTAGTTCAAATCCTGCATGCTTATAGCTTGATATCCTAGCAAAGGTTGGATATCAGTTTTCACTTATTAAAATAAATCAAAAATATGTTTCCAAGTAAAAAAGTCATTCTGGGCAGTGCTATGAAGAAAGTTGTTCCAAATAATTTTCTTCTAATAGTGCAGTTCCTTCCAATAGTGCACTTTTTTCTAATTTGTACAAACTATAAAAACAAGGATCAACTGCCTTTATAGAATAGACCAATTGTAAATCAAATGAAAAAAAAAATACATATTTTGTTCAAATTTATTTGACTTAAAAGTTTTACATGACGTTCAGATCAAAAACTAACCTAGTATAATGTGAAGCTTAGCCAAATCCTTTTGAGATTTCTAATACCTCATTACCAATCATAATATCATTAATGGTTTGTGAAACTCACCATCTTTTACAAAATCATCTAACAAATGAACATATGGAAAATACAATTAATACCCTCAGTGTTCTGGTACTTTTTGTACTCATTGACTGTATTTTCCATCTGCGGTCGCGAATATGCAGTAAACGACCTTCTCGAGCATGTTGGTCTGTCCATCAAACGAGTAAGAAATCACAAAATCAGGAACGAGTAAAAAATAAACGAAACATCATTTGAATGCCGAACCGACGCAAATAATAAACTACCGACTTGCTGAAATAGAAGTAGAGTTAATAGAAAAATATATATTAAAAATATATTTTTGAATAATATGGGTGGACCAAGTGATGGATTAAGGACCAAGAATAATACTAAGAATATAGGGTAATTGGATTCTTTGGATGATTAGATAGTAGAGAATGGAAGTATATACCATGGATTTGCTTAGATAGAAGTAGAAGTTTATATATTTACTAGCTGACCCAGCAAACGTTGTTTTGCTAAGTGAGGTATATCTAAACAATTTCTGGAGAATCAAAAAAATATTACTTTATTTTAAGTGTGTGAGCATGTGTTGTTTGAATCCTATACATAAATATATAAAACCCCAAGGTCTACTTACTACTAATTTATATTAACAATATTCGTTGTCCATATATTGTGTCCTCATTTGACGTATGAGTCGCCGTTCATTGTTTCATTTGAATTACGCTTCTACAAACATTTTCAAATTAAAGATATAAGTTTCTACGCGGTTTCGAAATAATATCTCACCTTTTGCACAATCTCTGGATTAGCACAATTTTTTCAAGCCTAAGACTAGCCAAATCCGTACAGCTATTTTAGAGTTTTACCATACCTAACATAATAGCGAACTTCATTTTTATAAATAAAATTATAGAGATTATATATTTTGGATTTTTTTATTTATGTGGGCGGACAAAATGATGAACAAGACTAATAAGTAGAATATAGGACAATTGCATTCTTTGGATGATCTGATAGTAGAGAATAAAAATACTGGTAAATTAACTATGGATTTGCCTAAATAGAAGTAGAGTTAGTACAAGTTTATACATTTGTTGTATAGATTATATATTTTGGATATTTTTGATTAAATGGGTGGACAAGGTGATGAACAAGACTAATACGTAAAATTTAGGACAATTGGATTTTTTGAATAATCTGATAGCAGAGAATAAAAATACTGGTAAATATACCATGGATTTGCCTAAATAGAAGCAGATTCAGGATAAGTTTATATATTTATTATATAGATTATATATTTTGGATTTTTTGATTAATGTGATTGGACAAAGTGATGAATAAGACTAAAATGTAGAATTTAAGTCAATTGGATTCTTTGCATGATCTGATAGTAGAGATTAAAAATACTGGTAAATATACTATGGATTTGCTTAAATAGAAGTAGAGTTAGTACCAGTTTATAAATTTATTTCAAAAATTATATATTTTAAATATTTTTGATCAATGTGGGTGGACGAAGTGATGAATGAAGGATCACTGATGACTAGTCAATTGTATTCTTTGATAGTGGCGATTTAGAATAATAAGAATTATACTACTGACTTAGTTGAAAAGAAGTAGGGTTAGTATGAATTAGTATATTTACTCAGTATTTAATGTTTTACACATATTGGAGTAGACAACTATAAATAAAACTAGGGGGTACAAAATGTTAGACAATTGGATTCTTTAGATGGTCTTGGTGCTGCTGATGAGCACGCAATAAAAACAACAAAATATACTACTGTATAAATGTATCACCAGAATAATTATTACTTTCTGGTCACAAATTTGGACAAAAATCTCTTTCACTTTTGTCCTTTGGACAGAGTCCTTGTCAGCATTACATGTGTCTGAATTTTCTTTCTTCAGCCGAGAGCAGCTCTCTATTTAGTCCTAAGGTTGCGGTATTGTGTGCGAGGGGCAGGAATGCACCCGTTGACCCCACAAAGTATATTTCACGTTTTCGAAATTGCCAACATGTCGTTTATTGCGACACCAAACAGACGGCACCGACACACTATCGTATATCATTCCATGCTAAATATTCTGACCGCTGCGGGCCCAGCACACATAAATACACACATGCACACACCAACAAATGCATACTGTATAGGAAAAATAATTTCGAATTTTAAGAAATTTTCATTTTCAAGGTTTAAGTGGTCTAAAAATGATTTTGATAAACTTGCCCTCTAAAAATTTACTCGTTCATACATGTTGTTACATTCATAAACTATTACCGTTCTTTGATTTACTGCTTTGCCCAAAAAAATATTTTATTTTTAAAGAAATTTTAATTTAGAGATTGTGGAAAAATTTCTCGAACAACGAATCAAGAGATCTTAAACTATTTAATTTTAAAAATTGAATTTTGTGGGCGTCAAGAAAATTGGTGAAGAAGTGTGGGGTCTTTAACAATATAATTTGAAAAATTGACCTCTAACTAACCACGAGTGTTGTTTTTTGTATGAACTATTGCTTTTCCTATATTGAATATATTGGATTGTCCAAAACATAATTTTGTATTTTAAGGAATTTGAATTTCATAGACGTCAAGAAAATTGGTGAACAGCGGTTCAAGAGGTTCAAAGACAATTGAATTTGAAAAATTGATTTGAACTTAACCACGAGTGTTGTTTTTGGTAAAAACAATTGATTTTCCAGTATTTTCATAATACACATGAATAACTTATTGGGTTGTCTAAAACATAATTTTGTATTTTAAGAAATTTGAATTTTATGGAGGCCAAGGAAATAGATGAACAGTGGTTCAAGAAGTCAATTGACAATTGAATTTGAAAAACTGACCTCTAATTAGATACGAGAGCAATTATTTGTATAAACTACTGTTTTTCCATTATTTTTATTAACCAATTAATACACATAAATTACCATATTGGGTGGTTCAGAACATAATTTTATATTTTGAGAAATTTTAATTTTATGGGCGTAAAGCAAATTGGTGAACAGCTATTCAAGGGGTCTTTAGCAATTGGATTTGAAAAATTGACATCTATCTAGCAACAGGTGTTGTTATTTCCTTAAACTAATTCTTTTCCATTATTTTCATAAAACAATACATATGAGTAACTGTATTGGAGTTGCTGTATTGGCTGTATTTTTTTTTAAGAAATTTGATGTAGGATTGAAGAAAATTGTTGAACAGTTGAATTTGGTAAACTTGACCTCTAACTAACCACGTGTGTTATTTGCATAAACTGATGGTTTTTTGTTATTATCATCATCTAGCAAACAAGAAAATATATATTAGATTATCCGGAAAATAATTTTCTAAAATAAGGCATTTTTATCTAGTGGGAGTAGAACAACGGTTCAAGGCCACCAATTAAATTTGATAAAATTGACTTTTTAGTGAAATTTTAAAATACGATATTTTTTTCTGAATTTTTAAACATGATATTACGATTATTATTTATAAAATATAAAAATTTAATGATAATGATAAGTGTTACTGCCTACTTTATTTTTTTGTAATACTTTAAAATAATAAGGGTACTCTGTCTTATATTAGAACAGAGTACAACAAGAAAAGGGCAGAGTCCATGAGCTGAGTTAAACTCCAATTTGAATCAGGGATAGTGTGAGAAACTTGTCATTGCCATATCACACCGCAGTGCCCGAAATGGGCTATTTTTATGAGGAAACATATTTTTGATCTAGATTTTTAAGTGAAAATTAATATCACTACTTGCATATATCAAGTTGTCGAGAGCGTGGGTCTAAACTTACGAACGAAGGCAGTGCGCTTAACCGTTACGCCAAAAAACACCCATTATAAAATATAATAAAATAATTTAATAAAAAAAACTTGTTAATAATAATTTACTTCTTTATCAATCATAAGTAGTTAAATTAAATTATCTTGCCTTTGGGCAATCACAATTGTGTTAAAATAAATGCTGCCTTAGAAGCATTTGCATATATGCTTCTCCAAATATATTTCTAAAGAAAGATCCACTGTGAATCGATAAATAAACAAAATATTATCAATAATAATAATGAAACTAATCTGTCAGTTCCCAAGGCTTGTTTTTGTTTCGCGTTCATATCATAACGTGTATATATGTATATATCTGGCTCGCGTAAACTTTTTATGAATCCTTAATTTTTATAGCCCTCTTGTTTCCTTTCGGAGCCGCGCGAACCGATTAAATTCGAAGAAATTACGGCACGTTGGCGTCTTTTAAATAATACATTAAAACCCCATACACAATGTAATAAAAAAATGATTTAAATATTCATAAAAACTTCAAATGCGCGGAGCCGAGCGACGCTGCTACAAAAGTGTTAACTGAACGCTGATATAATGTACGGACGCGGTCAGATGACGATCAGTTGAAATTTTAGCTATTTGGATGAAGATATACATGCATAATTTACATTCATTTGTAAAATTAAATATCCATATTTTGGGGCCAATTCTTGGATAAAATAGAAATGTTATGTTACTGGTATATAACCGTATGAATTGGTAGTCACGAACTGTCAAAAAGCTATGTCTTTGCTGTTCAATAGAGCGTTTCACACATAAAACCTAACCTCCAAAAGGCATAAACGTCAGAATTTTCATTTTGGTTGAACTTTACGTATGTCTTGTCAAAAGTGACATCAGAAAGTTGATGATAAAATTGTTATTTGACTTTTGTGGCTTTTGGAGGTTAGGATTTAGAAGTAGATTAAGAGTAAAAGTCTGAATTGCACAGCAGAGACATTTTGAGAATTTTTTACCAGTTTGTGACTACCACCTCATACGATTATAGACCGGTAACATAACATTTCTATTTTATCCTAGGATCAGTCTAATCTGCATTTCTAATTTTTTGCTTTCTTTCCAAAGAAGGCATTTAACGTAGTTCTTCTGCTGCAGACTTTTTGGCAGTTGTTGATAAGGTGAATAAAGCACCTACATTTATATCTAATTATACTTGTTTATCCTATGATAACACACCAATTTCTTTCTGAACTCTTGTTAGTCAAAATTTGGATTATTTTCAAAAAATTGGTTTATAATTTTATTCATGGTGTCCGGAGTGGTCAGACAAAGATTTATTTACAAACACCATTGAACGTTTTATTTGCTTAACACTATTATCAATATTATTAACTTCCCGAAGGAGCAGTTTCTTTTCATCAAAAAATCCGATTCACTAATTTTATATTTTTTCGACGTTTTAAGCCATTCCGAATCGAGTGAGACCAAATTTGGAAAAAGTATGTGTTTGTGTGTATGAACAGATTTTCTGCCTTAAATCGACATTTTCTCAAAAACGGCTGAACCGATTTCAAAAATTTAGAAGCCAAGCGTTGTATTTTGATGTAGATTATCTATTTTTAGTTACGTGCAGTGATCGGCCGAGCCGTTTCTTTGTAATTTGGAAAAAAGTGTTAAACTTTTCGTCCACATTTAAGCTCATACTACCGAATCGATTTCAAAAAATCAAAAACTGTTCGAAAGATATTAGTTGGGAATGATTCTGATTAGTTTTTGGTGAAAATCTACCGAGCCGTTTTTTTGTAATTAACTGTTGAAAAAAAAAGTTAAGCCGATTTTTATGAAACTTTTTTTGGCGATATATATCATGGTCTTATAGAACTTACTGAAATATTACAGCCTTACGACAAGTAGTTTAATTTTAAAAATTCATCTAAGTTTGAGAAAATTAATAGTTTTTTTGACGCTTGTTAAAATTAAAATTAGACAATTTACTTGGTATAACTATAGAGTACTTGGTCTTAATGAGCATACTAAACCATTAAAGTCCTACGGAAACTGATTCAATTATAAATATTGTGATATTGATTTGTGAAAATTTGTTTTTAGAAAATACTCCGAATTAACGTGTTCGTTCGTTTTCAATTATGTGTAATAAATCCACTAGAAATACTTTTAATACTCATAAATTAATTTATTTTTTATTGATTAAGCCGATTATTTACACATATCGGGAAGTTCATGTTAATTACCTCAAGAAAAAATACCAATACCAACTAATTTTTTTAGTCTCCTTAATTCTGGTGTATGAAGCAGCGGGGCAATGAGTGAATTGGGGTGATTTTCTAATTTGTGATAATGCAAAGTGAATCCTGTTTTTACAAAGTCTTTAATACATGGCACATTCAGATCATTGTGGAGAGTTTTATTGCTCATGTACCAGGGTGCATTTTTTAAGAATAGATTTTTCTCTAGGTAGGGTGGAACATTGTTTGGTTATACCACAGGAAGTTGATATGCTTAATTTTTAATATTTTTGTCAGAACTCAATGTACTGTCCTCTATAGACAGTCCTTTTCCACTACTACTTAGATTTCGATCTTTAGATTACTACATTTAGAATCTATTGCGGTTTTCTCAGCGACGGACGGCCGAGATGATAAAAGTTCGAATGCTGCACCGTCAAGCAAAGCGAGCGGCAAGGAATAAAAAAGCAGCAACTGAACAACTACTAAAGTACGAAGTAAAAAAAAAGTTGCCGCGAGTTGTGAGTGAGGAATTCTCCTCTTCTTTTCTTCTCTCGGGAGAAGAGTGATTTTTCCGAAACCTGAACGCGAACGGGCTGTAAATCAAATCGGCAAGGTCGCCGCGTATGGCAGCCGCCGACCGGGGAATATTCATTTGCGTAAATAATTCTTGTAAATGTTAGACGGAATGGGATACATACAAAAACATCACTCTGTTATGAGTGCATACATACATATATATATATATATATATATATATATATATATATATATATATATATTTATATGGACAAGATGTTCCAGAACTCAACGTCAAGCCGCAACGGGGTGGTAGTATTGATCGTAACTATCTTGATAAAAAACTAGGAAAAAAACTTTATGTAGTTCGAAAATTATGTGCAACCTAGAGCTTTGGATATTATTATTATTATTATTATTTGTTTTATTGTACATAGCAAACTATACACACAGTACATTAAGCTACTTTACTTTATTATTTGGCATAAATTTTGGTCTTTGGCTTTTGGCATAAATTAAGCAGTCTAGACCTTTGACTAAACTGTGTCTAATTCTCATTTATTGTAGTTATAATTTTAATTAATTTTGATAACTTAACTTTTGTATCTATAATCAAAAATAAAATTTCTCGCACCACAGTCAAAAATGATGACACAATTGCTCTAACATAAGTGTTCTAGAATTAAAACTATTTGTTAAAATATGAATTTAAAATTTTCAAAATTTGTCGGCTTTAGAAGGCCCAACATAAATGCCAGATACATGTTTTTATATGCAAATATTATAATTAACTTTAAGAACTGTGATTTAATGATATATTTGCCTTTTAATGTAGTTTAAATAACTGTATTAAATTAAAAATCAGTTATCTAATTTTGAGTGTCATGCTTACAAAATTATGGAATACTATTACGAAATTAGAGTAATATTACTTAACATCATCTATTATTTTATTCTGAGTATATCTCTCTCATGAATAAGAGCATAATATGTTAATTCGCCAAAATTCAGTAGTCATTTATCAAAAACTGAGCTTTGTTTGAAATTGTCGTTTTTATAACTTTTTCTAAACGTAACTCCTAAACTGTTTCACAATAAATAACTCATATCAAACAAACAACTATCTATGTTCACAAAAACTACCAGCAAATTCATCATTGTAGAAATGTGTTTCTTTTACTATTTTTCAAAAATTTGGCACCTGTTCCTTTTTACCTCATAGATGGGCTAATTTGGGACGGCCAGTAGGCAAACAGGTCTCGAAATAAGACATTATTTTTAATTTTAAAGGAATTTAACGAAATAATAGCTACATTATCCTACCAATGCAAAATATAAATTTAATGGATACATTTTTTCACAGATGTAACACTGTATATAACCTTGATCTGGTATTTTGTCAGAAATATTTATGATCAGAGTTGGAATAACTACTAATTTAACTTATCACTTGCAAAATTGTCATTTTAACTTTATTTACTTTTTGTATTTACTATTTTTTATTGTTAAACTTTTGCCAGAATAAAGGTTCAGTTGGTCCTTTTTATCCGATGCAGGTGTAACCTTGATCTGGTATTTTGTCAGAAATATTTATCATCAGAGTTGGAATAACTACTAATTTAACTTATCTCTTGCAAAATTGCTTTTTTAACTTGATTTACTTTTGTATTTACTATTTTTTATTTTTTACACTTTTGCCAGAATGAAGGTTTAGTTGGTCCTTTTTATCTGAATCAGGTGTAAACTTTTGTAGACATTAACAATACATCTTATAAAATAATTAAATAACGTATACCTAAAAATTATATTGAGGTCTCTCAAACTAAACTTCAGTGCTCACATTCAAAAAAACTAACAACAAAAGAAAATACTTTTGTTATGTATTATTAAACATTGTCGCTTATCTCCCGATAGCAACGGCTTTAGAATCAAGGTAATGGCTGGTTATGCATCTTTTACCCTCTACTTTCAAATATTGTTGTTAAAAAATTCTCAACTTTACTTGTTCTTGAGATATCGGTGGTGGACCTTTTTACTTTAAGCCCCGTTCTACCCTATATTATTATATTTTCATAAATTTCATTTTGTTTCAGAATCTCTGATGGGTTCAGCTTCCGAAGACGAAGACGATGATGACCTCCCAGGAACGAATCCGAGGTTATCTGGAGGTCTTGGATCAGCAGGCGGCATCCTAGGATCTGCTTCAGGTGGAGCAGGACTCATTGGAGCAGGTCTTATTGGATCAGATGCCGAATTAGCGGCGATGAATGCCGATTCCAAAACCGGGATGGAAGATTCGGAAGATCAGGTAAATAGTAACACAAATAGATGATGATTTGAACATTCATGGTGATTAGAGCACCAATTATATTCTTGCCTCGTTTTTGTTCACAATGCACTTTTTTAAGTCCTTAGCTTTCTAATATCTGTATTTTCTCATGCAAGTTGTTGTGCAATATTTTTTGTCCTTAGCTTTTCAGGCCTTTTATAGCTTCTTTAATGGCTTTCAGCATAAGACACATTTTTGGTACATGTGCCCAAACCATTTACCTTTATTACCAGTAAAGTTTTTTTCCACTTCAAAGGTTTTCCTCTTTTTACCAGCACTAATTTGTGACTTCTCCAACCTTTACCAACACCTCAATTCAAAACGCTCCAGACAGTCTACGTTGGCCTTCCTCGAACTTCTTGTCCCTGATCTTCAAGGAGCCACACTCCAAATATATCTTCCTTGAATTATATTTATCAACTTCTCTATTTACATCAAAAGTTTAACAATATCACTCACAAACTCCTTCTACTCCAGACTTCCCTGGATGGTGACGCTCTCACGGGCGGTAACTCTGGGGGCGGCAATTCCGGAGGTGGCGATTCTGCTGGTGGCGGTAAATCGCCTGCAGGCGACGACGAAGCTGGTGGTGGCAGCAAGAGAAGGGGTCCCAGGACGACGATCAAAGCAAAACAATTGGAGATACTGAAGACGGCTTTCGGACAGACGCCGAAACCTACGAGACATATCAGGGAACAACTGGCGAAGGAGACGGGATTGCCTATGAGAGTTATACAGGTAAGATAGATCATATGCGTAAAGAATGTATAAAGCTTTATGTTTTAATTTATAGTGCAAACAGTGTCTTCGTGATAGAAATATTTAATATCCAACTCAAAATCAAACAATATAATATTGAATACGTATTAAGAAAGTGGAACGATATTTGATTTGAGAAATAGTTGAACTACATAATACATGACAAATTTAATAATGTGTACGCCGTTTGAAAAAATGATTAAAAATTAGTTAAAGTGTGTTCAAAATTTAAATTAGTTAAATTGTTCAAAAATAAAATAAAAATTGTTAAAAAAGTTGTTGAGCACTTATAAATATTTATTTGTCGTATATTACTATACGTTTTGGTTTGACCGGGACAGTCCGGGTTTCACCTTATGTCCTGGGTTTTTCTAAAAGCAACTTTTGTCCAGGATTTAAGTTTTTTGTCTCGGATTTGTTCCGGGTTTTTGGAAAGTATAGGTTTGAATTGAATCTTTACAATTAGCTAATAATAAAATTATAACTACCCATCAAATATCTGAAAACGAGTTTTCTTATATGAAACTATACGTTAAAAATGGGAAAATTGCACATGTAAAATTCTGAAGTTAGGTTAAAATGTGAGATGTTATCTCACATTAATAATTTTGAACTTTTATTTAACAATTTAATGAAAATGATCAAAAAGTATGAACTAGAACTTTTTAACTGACTTAGAACTGAAATATTTAAGATTTATTTAAGAATGCTAAATATTATTGTGTCTTCAAATAAAATTTGTTACTTTAAATAATATTTAATTCTTCGTGTGGGTCACTTTTGCATATTCTCATCATATTTCAAATGAAGCGAGAAGTTAAAAATTAATATATTAGTTTGTTTTAATTTAATTTGCTTGTTTCAATGGTTGTGAGCACTGTTGTTTAGTTTACGAGACTTTAATATAATTTTTAAGTATACGTTATTTATTTGTTTTATAAGATGTATGGTTGATTCTAAGTTGGATTCAACAGTTTTTTTTCACAAAATCTTACCCCCTTGGTAAGGGTAAAAAGGACCAACTGAACCTTTTCTCTGTCAAAGGTGTAAAAAATAAAACAAAGTAAATAAAAAAGTAAATGAAATTAAATGAAGCAATTTTACAAGACATAAATTAAATAAATAGTTATTCCAAAACTGCTGATAAATATTTCTGGCAAAATACTATATTAAGGTTATATATGTGTAAAAATACATCCATGAAATTTATGTTTTGCATTGGTTGAATAATATAACTATTATTTTGTACAAAATTAAAACAAGACATTGAACCTGTTTGCCCACTGGCCTAGGGGGCAAAAAGGATCAGGTTTCAAATTTTTGAGCTGGTAGTTATACTGAACATGGTCAGTCTACTTCAGCGAAAAGAAACTTTCGATAACCACGATAATAGATCACCACACACCTTGTTAACATCTATTTTTCATTATTATTTTAAAGTTAATTAATGTCTAAGCTTGTATTTGTATCTTTAATTTGAATGTTCAATACTAAATATTAGTACATATAGAAATTTATAAAAAATCGATTTCGGTTAAATACGAAGAAGTTTGGAAATCTGTTAGATAGATTTCTTATAAATGAATTTTATCCGATTCTTCGATATTCGGATCAATTTCACAAAAATCGTCAATGATCTTCGTCGTCAAAATCGTTCGTATTCCGTAACCGTGATCGTGATCGTGATCGTGATCGCCGTCGTCGTCGTATTTTACGTCCGTCCGTCGTCCGCCGTTCGCGCACGGCACAGCACAGCTCCCTCGTAAAATTTTTTACGTTCGTTGTAGTAAAAAACGCGTAAAAAATCTCCGCTCAGCCTTTAAATAATAAAATGAACGATTCTTAAAAATCGATTGTTCACGCATCGGTCAGAATGAAAATCGGTCACGCCAGTTTATATTATTTTCAACCGGGCATCGGAACAAAACTATATACTTAGACACATAAATCTATGCATACACTCACATACATTAATACATACATATATATATATATATATTATATATATATATATATATAGAGTAGGGCGGGGCACAAAGATCCAATTTGACTTAGAGCAATTATATTGTGAAAACCAAACCAATTATATCACAATAAATAACACATATTAAACAAACAGCTATCTGACTATGTTCAGTAAAACTACGAGCTCATCATTCTAGAAATATGTTTTTTTGCTGTTTTTCAAAAATTTGTTTCGAATCCAAAATTTCATTTCATCAAATCAAATCATCGAATATTGAAATTTAAGTAAAATTTTTATAAACTATATTTAAAAGTATAGTTTATTACGATCTAAGCGCCATCTAAAAGAATGTACACCAATTTTCATTATTCTAGCTTTTTATTTAGTCGAAGTATCATTGTGCAAGCTTTTAGGGGGCGTCCATTAATCACGTGAGCGAGTTTTTAAGGATTTTTGGACTCTCCCTCCCCCATGGTGATACATGGCGATATTACAAAATTTGTTTCGAATCAAAATTTCCATTTCAACAAATCAAATCAAATCGGATATTAAAATTTAGGTAAAATTGTTATAAACTATATTTAAAAGTATCCTTTATTACGATCTAAGCGTCATCCAAAAGAATGTACACCAATTTTCATTATTCTAGCTATTTATTTAGTCGAAGTATCATTGTGCAAGCTTTTAGGGGGCGTCCATTAATCACGTGAGCGAGTTTTTAAGGATTTTTGGACCCGCCCTCCCCCATGGTGATACATGGCGATATTACAAAATTTGTTTCGAATCAAAATTTCCATTTCAACAAATCAAATCATCGAATATTAAAATTTAGGTGAAATTGTTATAAACTATATTTAAAAGTATCCTTTATCACGATCTAAGCGCCTTCCAAAAGAATGTACACCAATTTTCATTATTCTAGCTCTTTATTTAGTCGAAGTATCATTGTGCAAGCTTTTAGGGGGCGTCCATTAATCACGTGAGCGAGTTTTTAAGGATTTTTGGACCCCCCCTCCCATTAATGATACATGGTGATATTTAAAATAAACCCCCTTCCTTACCCAAACTTTACGTGTATTTTTAGTTACTTGATAAAACTGTAAAATTTTTGATTTTTTTTTTGAAAATGTTTGATTTTTTTTAAAAAAGAAAGTTAAAAAATAAATACACGCGATATCTTACTATACCCCTCCCTCCCCCACGTGTTATTTCGTAATTTTTTGTCAAACCCCCCTCCCCCTAAAAAGCTCACGTGATTAATGGACGCCCCCTATATGAAGAAATGGTTATAAACAATTTTGAATAAACAGTCTATGTGAAGTTTTAAGGAACATTTTTAAAAAGATATTCCTTGATTTTTGTGAAGAAATAATTATAAACTATCTGAATATCAAAGAATCAGTTAAAAATTAAACAATTTACACGTCTTGTTAAAGAACGTTTCACCATTTTTCAGTATTTTATCTCTGTAATTAACCGGAGTAAGAAGTCTAAGCGACGACTTAAAAAGCCATTTTCAAAAATTACAAAATTAAATTTTTCGTTTTACGAACTATTTTTCACGATTTCTAGAATTTTTTCCGTAAAATTTGGTGACTCTAAGCTGGAATACCAAAATGTATTTCTTGTTATAGAGCCTATCGAATTTAGAGTTGTATAATAGTTTTCTGAACATTCTAACTCTTTCCACTTGGATGCCGCTGCTCCGGCGGCAAAATTCATATAAATCCCGGAATTAGCGAGTGGAAAAGGTTGAAGAGAATGATTTTGAAAATAGAATTTTGTTTTGTATAAAATGCAGGTAAAGTTATTGATTTAAATTGAAAAAAAAAACCCGAAATTACAAATAAAAAGAAATCATTTGCGTGAGAATAAGTTTGTCAAAATAATATTTTAACTTTAGAAATCATCAAATTACCAAATATCAATATGTTTGGTAAAAAAATATTATTATTTTTTTTAAAATGATTTAATATCTAAAAATTATGTTAATATATATGTATATATATATATATATATATATATATATCCCTATTAGTATATATCACTTTATTTTCGTTTTGCATATAAATCCTCGTTGAAGAGTGAAGCCACACAGAATACTAAATGGACCGATAGAGCAAAGATTAATCGCGGTTGATGCTTCAAGCAAAGTACTTGTGTTAAATTGCAAAAAATAAATGAAAATTTAAATTAAAAACATATGAGCCTTAACATACATTAATAGTCCATTTATTCTCAAAAAACAATCGACAATTGTTGAAATAATACTTGAATTAAATTGCAAGAGTCTTGATATAAATAACATATTTGTTATTGAAATATATCAAAGTAAATGACCAAGTTAAGGACAACACACTGTTTACTATTGAAAGATTAACCTTTTTAAACTTTATTATTATTGGGTAATCTTTTAATTTTTTTTTTTTTTTTGAACAATAATTTAACAGCAGTCAGAACAAGTTCAAAATGTCTCTTGGAGATACATGGTAATTTTTATGGTAAAAAATATAAGGGTGACTTCAAATCAATAATGGTAAAGACTTTTAAATTTTATTTGATAAGTATAAATAAAAGTCAATAAAATGAGAATATAAACATAATAACAATCTGAGTAGTAAATTCCATAGTTTTCCTATTTACTGAACAACTGATTGTTTTACAACTAATTACTAACTTGTTCACAGTTATTTAAAACAGTTTCTCCATAAATAAATAAGCAAATAATTAAATTTCCAATTCAACTTGACACATACGTGTCTAAATATTTTTGCTTCAGCCATCTGACTTTAATATTTCGCTCAATTTAACGTCTAAATTGCTTTTAAAGTGCTCCTTGCTATTTTGGTACTCGAATTAGGTGGTCGCGAATATCTCGACTTGGTGAAATAATCGGAGTAATTGCTTTGCAATTTGTTTTGTTTAAATGTAAACACATTTGTTGCGAACAAAATGACAACTAATTTGTATATTTATAATTATTTATTTATGGATTATGGAATTATTTATAATC